TCACAGTTGTCGAACGTCCTCGATCGCAGTTTATTTCGGATTCTTCCGAATCGAAACTTAACTCTGACCCCAGTGACGAAAAAGAAATTATTCTGAAACAAAACTTGGCCGTTTTAGTCCCAAAATATATTGGAACGATTAGTTTTGTCCTCCATTTTCTCGAGCAAATACAGAGAGCTGACTGAGGCGCCATTGTGTTTGGTTCCTGGGTAGACGTCATCAGCAACCGCCGCCCCAGACTCCCTAAAACGCGGTCGTGCAACACTTCAAGCGCGACTTTGAAAGGGCATAGAAAATCGAAGATTCAACCAAATTCAAAAATTTTTTCGACCAAATGCTTCGAATAACAAGTGGATTTGTTTTAGCGAAAAAAATGATTGGGGCTAGGTGCACTTTAAGAAATGACAAGGGCTTGAATCTTTTTTCATCACGGAGGAAAACTCAGCCCTCCAAGCCGATTTTTTTAAAATTACACGTTAAAATAATAATTAAAACACTCTTAAGCTACAAGAAGTAATTACTTATTGATGTCAACCAACCTTGAGAAATAACAATGCGATAGACGTAATTGGAGTTTTGGTCTCCCGCGCACTCTCCAACGCTGTTGACACCACATGGCTGTTGAAGAGTATCGATGCACTGTTCTGAGGCACCGTACATACTGTATGTATCACCAGCTTTAATTCCAGACAAGCACTCTCCTACACATCAGCACAGGTTTCTATTAGTCACCTCAGATACATGGCATAAAATGTAATAAACTTGAACGATTCTCTAAAATTCATAAATTTAGACTTGTTAGTGCGTGGGTTCTGATTGGCTAAATAAACATCGCTGACAACAACATGCTTAAAAAGGACGGTATTTGAGGTTTAAGACCCTTTAACAGTGCCTCAGGAAAGAAGTACTATTTCCTTCCTCTCTCCAAGCCCTTAGCTTCACTTATATCCAAACCATTGAACATCACTTTAATGAACAATACGACCGTGAATGAATGGGAAGTGACTACCAATGAAATGAGATCGAAAAATGACTGGAAGAATCAAAGAACATACCGTACATGTGAACTCCAAACACATTGTAATTCTTCTCATAAACTAGGTTGGCACACCTGCAGACAAAATCGGGTAGCCAGGCACTCCATTTGTACCAGTCGATTTCATTAGCTTCTTTTAACATCATTTCAGAAAGTGGAGCTGTAGGATTATTCAACTCCTTATCGGCAAAACAACCAAGCTTTTGGTACTCAATGTTACACTTCCCTGAGGAAAAAAAGTAATTGTAACATTAACCTTGAGCGTAAAAATAGAACTCTACAGTCTACGAAGCCATTCAGTCAGCAAATCCATGGACAGAATACTTGCTTACAAATTTAGCAGAAATTAACTTACGAAGGCTTGCAGCTGGGGTTGAAGGCGATGTTCCGCTAATAGCAGGAGGTGGTGCTGTTGGTACTAAAGAAGAAACTGTCGATAAATAGATGAATTATTTTGTCTT